TCTCTCTCTCTCTCTCTCTCTCTCTCTCTCTCTCTCTCTCTCTCTCCTCTCCTCTCCGCGTGTATATCCGCGTTTATCGCGTCGCCGTCGAAAATTCGCGCTTCCGTCGTCCGCGGGGGCCGCGAGATCGGGTGCGGGGATAAGAGCGACGGGCCGCGAAGAGTGAAATTAAAAGTCGGGCGTCGCTTCCCGGAAACTCGAGCGCGTTCGCCTCTCGCCGGGGAATTTGACCTCCTATTACCGTCGCACCGGTATGCATTTTGCTCTCGGGAAAGTTCCTTTTCGTCGGCACGGGATCGCCGTTTTCGGCACCGCGAGAACACGCTCGCGCGCTGGCAAGGAAGGAGCAAGGTCGCTAAATAATAAGGCTTCTCTCTGATGTCATCCGCGTCGTGAATTATGAAATCCGTCTTGCTCGCGCGAACATCGCCGTTCGGAAATTATTCCCGTCGTACAAAGGATGCGTCTCATGTCACAAGCGCGAGCGCGCGTCTTTCTCTTTCCGGCTGGAGCAAACGGACTCGTCGCGAACGACGAGGACGCTGTCGACGTGTCGGGGGGACAGCGACGTGTAATATCTATGCTTTTGTCCACGACATTGCGGGAATGTCAAGGGGTAACTAGATATATGCGAATCAAGAATTTGTATGTCGGGTCGAATCGAATCGAATCTCATTTTTCAAATTCGAATTGAATCGAATCTACGAAATTTCGTTCGAATTCGAATCGAATCATTAAATAATTTAACATGACTATTAAACATGCAGATAATGATGGAAAATTTCAATATGAAAGGGAATATTAATATTGTAATATCATCTTAAAGTAAAATATATATTTAAATATTTAAAATAATTTATGATTAAGTTATTGATTATAAGTTAAGTTAATTGCAAGTTAAGGGTTCAAGGCCCAGATGGCCCGTTTTATAGCCGATGCGCGCAAGCGCTAACGTATTTGATTCGGATTCGAATCGAATCGAATTACATTAGATTCGATTCGAATTCGAGTAGTTCGCACATCTCAAGGGGTAACACAGAGGCGTGCGAGTGTAAATATGTAAATCTTGCTTTCGATTGACTCGGATTCACTTTGAGCGCGGTCGTTTCCCATGCGTGTCGCAGTTGAATTGACGAATTGACGTGCGACGAATTAGTACCATTGATTGCGACAAATTACACGTACACATAAGAAAGGAGTAGTTTATAGATCTTTTACATTCCTGCGAATTTTACCATATTTTCTAACAGCGCAAAGTAAAGTTTTAATAAAAAAAAAAATGCATTCCCTCAAATATAAATATCGCGACACCCATTCGTCGACTGCAAAATTCTACGGTGATTTTTACTAAATTTCTCTCCGCGTGTAAAATGTAACGTCGAATAATTTCTAGCGGAGAAAGGACATCCGGCGCGCGCGTGTCCGGTCTAATCCGAGAGCAAGGGAACACACAATCGAGCGAGGGTGGGCGGCTGGCTGACGAATCGAACGGCTCTGGTCCCTTCTAGCTTTCCACCGGATAACAACCAATCGACCTCATAATTAAGTGAACTTTCGCCGGTTATTTGCATTCCACGATCCGGCGCCAGCCGATCCCGCCGTCGCCGCGCGAAACGCAAAAGACGAGAAAGCAATCCGAGGACGATCGTCGTCGTCGTCGTCGCGTGCCCGTCCGTCCGTCTCGATTATATCTCCACGTCGTCGCATTAAACTCCCGACTCCCACGAATATCGGACTTGCGAAATATCGAACTCATCCGTGACACTGGCACGGTAACTGGTCGGCTTTGCCAGGATTGCATAAACCGATCGCCGGGGTTCAAAGGTGCGGATTCCTTGGCGAGACGACGCGGCGCGCCAACGTGAATCAAACCCGACAATCTTCTCCGCTGCGATCGGTATTTTCTGTCTGTCGCCGAATCTCGCGTACCTTTCGCGCGCGCGCGCGACTTTCGGGACCAGGCCCCGCGCGACGTGGCCACCGTCGCCAGGTTAATTTCACCTCCTTACAACCTCTTCGAAACGCCGGCAGATGTAACAGTCCACGGTGTGTGCGCCGATCTCGCCCGGCCGCTCGGACGGATCGATCAGGCTTGATTCTCGGCGCCTTATTCCGGCCTTAAACGTGGCCGGTCGATTTTCGCGTCCGTGTTTCTCGTGCAAACGTCACGTACGCAGAGAGAATTTTAAGATATCCTTGGCGGTGAAAATTACTGTAGAATATGTCCCAGGCGAAGGACCAACATCAACATGCCACCTTGATTTATCATCCTTTCCTCTCAGATTTTCTACATCTTAGAAACTCGTGTGCATTATCGAAAACTCAATAATGCTCTTTAGCAAAAGAAATTTGGCAATCTATCCTTGCTCTGCTAGAAAAAGGTGTGGTAAAATTAAAAATAATTTATCTGAAGGAAAAGGTCATAGAATATTCGCTCCGGAATATTTGCTTGGGAATTGGAGGGCGTTCGTTGAGTGTGTTCATCCTGAACATGTAGCGGATGTTAATGCTTAATCCTTGATTCTTAATTTTCAATTTTAAATAATATTTCCACTTGCTCTTATTTCCGTTTGCTCTTATGCAAGTGTCACGTGGAACGTTGCCTCAGCCTGGCAAATCAAAAAGGCGGCAAAATTCTCAGCTCGATAATTCGATACATATCCTGATATCCTTTAGGACTTCGGTCAACCATCGCGATGCGAAAGTCCAAGATACGAGGAGATGACGCGTAGTTGCGCTAGGTAGCGTAGCATATAGCTGTGTTACATGCGAGAGAACATACAGGCAACATCTTTCGTCCGCTCGTCGGACAAACGGAGAGAGTAAACGCGCCGAACGCGTCGTCAAACATGAGAGAATGACTGATGGAGTGTGGGAGGCCGAAGTGTTCTAAACCCGCTTCTGCCTTTTAAATGAGATACTCGCTCGCGCGTGCTGAGCTACCGAACTGTGCGTAGCTACTCTCGCATATGTAATCCGCGGGTCAAATAAACCGAAAGACCGCCGCTGAGCGCCGAAGAAACCGGCCGTCAGTCTCATTTTTATTCGACACTTTCACGTGTTGCTAATGTTTTTTTTCTTCCTCTTCTCTCTCTCTCTCTCTCTCTCTCTCTCTCTCTCTCTCTCTCTCTCTCTCTGCTTGCCGTATTGGATGGCGCGACGATGTCGTAACGGAATCTCGTTCCGGATCGAGATAATAGATCGATCTAGTTGTGCACGCCTGTCCGTCTACTTCACCTCAAATGGACCTCGAGCCCGCGTAGAAAACTCCACGGTATCTGTCCAGCAGAGAAAGAGAGAGAGAGAGAGAGAGAGAGAGAGAAAGAAAGAGAGAGAGAGAGAGGGGGGAAAGGAGGGGGGGGGGAGAGAGAGAGAGAGAGAGAGAGAGAGAGAGAGAGAGAGAGAGAGGAAGAACAGTTCGCCACGACATTTTTTTAATTACCTGTTAATTAGACCCACGCTGTGGATCCTTGAGGAGAAATATCGCGAAACATCGGCTCGATGTTCGGCACTGATAAACGTCTCTCATCTCTCACATCTCTTGATATTTAACGTCTTCGGTATTCAGCAGCCGTTCGGCGGAACGTTCCTCCCGACGCAAGAGCGAACATCCCACGAGTGTCTATTTGCATCACCTTTATTACCGCGGCGTGGATAACACCGGCGAAGAAGATCCTCGCAATTCAGATGCGCTCGACGTAACGCGTATCGACGGCGCGGCGGGGAAATAAATGACAATTGTAAGAGTAACGTATAGGATGTATAAATAACATGGGAACGGTTTCCTATAGACATGACCTTTCTTCTTTTGTTTATTTGCCTTATGCATACATACTAAGAGCCGAATGAATAGACGAGCAGTCGAGGTAATAAACACAAAAGGCAATAAATAGCGTAAAAAAAAAAAAAAAATAAAAACGTAATATAATTTAAACGCTCGTCGGTGGAGGTCGAGCGAGATACGGAGACGCACCGAGTGGCACAACATCTTCGAGTCTAGGCTTTCGCGCCAATTACCTCACGCGATAATTGACTAAAAAAAATGGCGGTCCGAATGGATATGTGCGCACACTCGAACCGCTAGCGAGCAGTCGGTGATCTCCAAGGGAAAGCGCACGAGGAAATCACCAACGTACCCCAGCCTAAAGCTCACCATCCAGCACCAAGAGGTACAATGGACATCAAAGGAAAGCGCACGAGATATCCCCCTCTCAGCTGCTGGCTCTGATCACTTAGGTCAGAGCTCGGCAAAAGTTTACAACTTTCGACCGATTTTCGGAAGCTACACCTTCTATCTCCCCTTACCGCGCAGCGGCGGATCGTCAGCAACTGACGATCGCGGCTCGCGACCTCAGGACCGTTGAGATCATAAGGCGCATCTATGTGGTGCCTACTGAAGATGCGTTCGGGGAGCACATCGATCAGCGTTAACACGTCATTGTCAATCCTTGTATATGTAATAAGCGATAAAGATCGAAAAAATAACGTGTTAGCGTTGACAGCGCGCTCCTTTAACGCATCTCAAAGGCTGAAAAATTGATGTATCGATACAACTATACGTATAATATTTCGTACAAACTTGTACAAATATATACTTGTATAAGTACATATATATTTTTTTCTTATATTTTTATAATTAGAAGGTAGCATAATAGGTTTCCTCGTCACCCAGTACTATTGCCGACGCGTTTTTTTTTAATCAGTTGCTGGATCCGCCGCTGCGCGGTAAGGAGAGAGAGAAGGCGTAGCTTCTGAAAATCGGCCGAAAGTTGTAAACTTTGCCGAGCTCTGACTTAGGTCATACCGGACCCCCCGGGAAAACGCACGGCGAGCCCGGCTGGCGACCAAGGATACATCTGAATCGGACCGGTGTCGAAGGGGAAACGCACGACTACACGGTATTTGGAATTAAGAGAAATCAACTAATTGCGTAAGGGAAACAATGCTCGAGCCCGGCCATCCGATGAACATTAGAAAACAATGATTTGATTAACACTCACCGATCTTCTACACGAGTGGCGATGGCACGTCTCTTTCGGGCGTCCAACAGCGACTAACTGCCTACCTCTATCGCGACATCGTTTTTATGACCCGCGTCTCTATCTTCCAAACACGTAAACACATCGTTTTCCCCACCATCGACCTCACTGTGATCGTTATTGTTTTTCAACGCTCCGAATGCACATTTCGGATTTTCATATGCAATCCTCACACCTCGTACGATAGGAATGGTTAGGTATTAGAAGCAAGAATAAATTCAATATTTTTATTGCAATTGTGTGCTTTTCTTCAACGGTCATACGCAACAACAGATCGACGGCATTCTTTAGGAGAGGGAAAGAAAAAGGGGCGAACAAGCAAAGAAAAAGGAAATAAAACGAATATATGTCTCACACAATGATAGAAATTCAAATATCGGATACCTGGGTTATACTTGAAAGAACCGACACCGACAACGACGACGCGTGCAGATTTTTGACAGACCGATCGTGCGAGGAGGAGAAAATACCAAACGTTCCCACTGCGCGCACACCCGTTTCTCTCCGCAGGTCGAACGAGCGAACTGTGACTGATCGGTCATTAGAACGGCCACCGGCGACATTTGAATACGAATATCCTGGCGCAACTCGTCTATTTTACACGCATCGACCTTCTCTGGCCGTAACCGCGTGACACGACTTTATTCATAATTCGTCGAGTTACGCCATTCCGGGCAAAACGAGGCGACACGCCGCCGGGTCGCCGGGGACGCGACCCGTCGACTGCTCGTAAAACCACCGGGAGAGACTCCTATAGAATAACTTTGGCGACACGCTGCTCTCAACGCTGAGGGAGATAATGAGGATACTTTAAATGAAAATTGATGGAGATTAAATTTATTGCGTTCGTGAAATTTGTGCAATTTTTTCTAAATTGTGAAATTTTTGCATTTATTTTCTAGGTCGTTATTTCGTCAATATTGTCGTTTGAGAAAGAGGAGATCACAGACTGGCAGGAATATATCTGCCCGAGAATTTTGTCCTTTTTGTTGTATACTCGACAACGTACATTTCGAAAACTAAAGGTTACTACGATTCGAGCCTTCTCTCTCCTGTCCATTGCTGTGAAAAAAAAAATAATGCTGTGAAAAAAAAAATTGTTATATCGTATCGCCAAAGTTATCGGGAGATTGTGACGCCGGCGACCAGCGACAAACGTTACGCCACGAGGATGTTTCTGATCCTGCTCCTTGCTGCGCGTCTTGCAAAAGAATTCGGCGTTTACTACTATCGAAATCGCATCGCCATTGACCCCTTTCGCATCGCAAGGATGCTGCGCGAAACTCGCGTACTCAATCTTTTATTAATGACATCTTAACAGTCTCTTAAACACCTTGTATTGCAGGTGTCTCTCCTAATGACCGCTAAATCGCGATAAAAATTTGCAAGCGGACAGGCGAGTTTCCTGAGGGAAACAAGAGTCAAATTTCAGGAGGAGGATCCGAATGCCGCGTCGAGATTTCAATAATGAGACGACCGCTCGACGTCGATAAGGCAAGCACCGACGACGTGCGCGACTTGACGGTTCAGAAGCGTCCGACGCTGAGGGAATCAATGACGATAAGGAAAGGGATTGAAATATCTCCGATACTTTAATTATTCAGAAGCCGATCACTCAACCGTTAATATCTCCTTAGGATTCGACGAAGAAGAGCGCGCGGGGCTACCGCGCGGTCGGCTCGTCCTTATCTTCGATTCGATCAGGCCACTCCATCATCGGCCAGATCGGAGATCTTACGATTTGGGCGAGAAAGAAACGAGAAACGAGAGGTCAGTATAAGAGAAACGTATGATGAAGCGATATTATTTATTCATTTACCGCCGACTTCGTCCTGAATCAACTTTGCCTTCGATACGATCGAAGCCGCATCATCGGTCCAGATATTACGGCTCCGCTTGGACCAGCAGGCGAAAAGCAAACAAGACACGGGGGATTGAAATAAATTAATTAAACGATCTCGGCCGGATGAAATATCAAGGATGACGTGTATTAAAATTGCTAAAAAGCTAATTATACTTGAAGCTATTAAATCAGTTCATCTATCACCGCGACGCGCGGCCAATCGCACTGATTCTCGAGAACGTCCTCTCGGCTTCACGAAGGAAGGTTCATGGAGGAAGAACGCCGGGGAAGAAGGAAAAGCGAAGAGAAGAGAGGAACAGAATGCGGTAGCCGCGGTAGTGCGCGATGGTCGCAACGCGAGGCGAGTGACTAATTGCGAGGTGCGCGAGAGCGCTAATAGCCTGACTAATTGCGCGCGCCGCGCCGGAGAGACTCGAAAATGAGAGAAAGCAAGACGCGGATAGAGCGCGCGGCTCTCTCTCTCTCTCTCTCTCTCTCTCTCTTACACTCGCAGGCTACCCCGCGGGAGGCCCGTTTTCGAATTAGTTCCCTTCGCGGTGCGCCAACGGTACACGAACGCACAATTAATCGCCCTCGAGCGTGAGAGGCCTCTCGTCGAGGAAGCAGCGGCGGCGGCCTTGAGAAGTCGCGCCACCGGTCGGCTGCTCGCTCGCAAACATCGCCGTGTCTTTCGAGCAACGACTCCGGATCGGTTTACGAGGATGAGCGAGGCCGAATCGATCATCATTTCATCCGGCAGCCTCGACTCGCTCTCACCCGGGCGTTTCCGGGCTAACGGCAGTCCCGTCAATCCGTTCGTCCGCCCGCTCGAGTCGCGAGAAATGTAGCGTCTGCGTTGTTTTCAACAAACGAGCGGTACTTGCAAAGAGGGGCCTCTTCGTCCTGGCGATTTTCACACTCGGCGATTTGCGACTCGTATCTTGGTAGAGTTATTTGGTAGAGATGTGCGAACTATTCGAATTCGAATCGGAATCAAATACATTATCGTTTGCGCGCATCAGCTGCAAAACGGGCCATCTGTTACGCATGTTTGAACCCTTAACTTGTAATTAACTTATAATTAATAACGTAATTATAAATTACTTTAAATATTTAAATATATATTTTACTTTAAGATGATATTACAATATCAATATTTCCTTTCATATTAAAATCTTCCATCATTATTTGCACGTTTAATAGTCATGTTAAATTTTTTAATGATTCGATTCGATTCGAATTCGAATGAAATTTCATAGATTCGACTCGATTCGACATAGAAATTCTTGATTCGCACATCTCTATTATTTGGTTACTTCTTGAAAATTGTTTCACGGTTTTATATTACCACTCTGTCAGCCACGCTTTCTTGCCGCGTTTTGCGCATCGTGGTACCAGAACGGTAGATCCAGACTTCGTCGTGGAGCAATCGATAAATAAAACGTCGCGGTACAACGAATGACGCGGCCGAGCCAGCCGGTTCGGCCGCACGCGGAAGAGAGGATGCACCTTGCACCTTGCACGCGCGAGCCGATGCAAATTTTTCGACGATTACTCGTCGTCTATTCTCCTCGCGCCGTTATTACCATATACACGCGGGCGTTATTATCATATACGAATACGCGAGACGAAGACGCATCCGCCGGTGATTCGCCGAAAGGTGGATGACGGAGCGGCGGTTTAATTCTTCGAAAGAGCAGCGGGAAGAGAAGAAGAGGAGCGCCTTGTTGAAATAGCGTGTCCACCGCGGTAACGCTACACACGAGGGCGAGTGTGTCTGTTGCACCTTCTCCACGAGTGAGTTTATAGAGGCGGGATTAATAAACACGCGTGCTTTATGACACGTAATCTGCGCGAAATCGCGAGTTACTGATTTTGCGAATGATTCATCGCTAAAAATCTTCTCTCTCTCTCTCTCTCTCTCTCTGCCTATTTTTTCCTCCTCGCGTCACCTCGCTCGAGACGCTCCGAAGAAACTCGCGCTCCGAATGCCACCGCGGTCGTTAAAAAATCTCGCGAAAAGGAAAGTGAGCGATCGAATTGAGACTAAATCGATCGGCCGAATCCCGACGGCCGCGACTAGGGCGAAAAAATGACCTGATCTAGCGAAATGGCCGGAGCTGCTAATTGGACGACGGAGTGAGGAATGCCGTCTCGGTTTCCCGAAACGAATTTCTACCCGTCCATCTGAAATGCATATGAAATCAGACACATGCCGCGCGGATATCTCATAATTAATACCCGAGCCTGCGGACATTCAATAAAAGCGTATGGTAATTTAATTGACGCAAGCGGAATATAGTGTGACTGCTCGTCCAGCGCGCGCTGGCCATCAGGAAGTGACGCGGACGATGGCGAAAAATCGGCGAGTCGGATCGCCAAGAGCGACGTTATTTACGTGATTTGTGCAAGAGACCGCCGCAAGGATCCATTCGCGCGCAGCTTCCTCCGCGCGCGCACGTCCTGCGCGAACCCGCGCAATCGCCGCGGCGCGCGGCGGTGCTTTTAATCGAGTCCGCGACATAATCAGGCGTTTTCTTTCTTCTCGCGAACGTCACATCCAAATTCGCGTTTAACTGCCTTCGCAAGATTGCCGCCGTGCCGCCGTGACAATCTTTTTACGATCCGATCTTGAGGTCACTTATGGAGCTCTCCGCTTTCCCACCCCCTCCCCCGCCAGGCGAGCATCCTCTTTCAACCGTCGAAATTAGCGCGCCGGTGTCTCGCAGGATCTGACGTAATTCGCGGAGTCATTATCGTTATTGCGAGCGTCCAGACGTCGCTCGGATTGCGCGAGTCTTCTCGGACGCGAATCGAGATTAAAAGACGCGATGTGTCGTCGTCGTCGTCGTCGTCGTCGTCTTCGTCGTCGTCGTCGCCGGTGGAATTCGGACCGGGTTTTACGGGAGATACCGTATAGAGGCGTGTGCATTTTACCTGAATTCTCCCGAGGAGAGAGAACGACGACGACGCGAGACGCAGCGTATAGAGCGAGATAAATAGCACTTTCCAAACAGAAGTATTTTTTATGACGACCCTCATGAATATTTCAGAGGTCGATCGGGGAGGTCGATCGGAGAGGTCGGGCTTTTCGTTGCTCGGCACGAGACGAGCGAGCGTACACGCGCGCACACACGCGTATAAATGTGCGTACACGCTGTTGTGTGTGTGTGTGTGTGTGTGTGTTTGCGCGAGGGAACTTCGGAATCGATTCCATCGCGATTACCTAATCCTGCCTGGGACCTGGTCCGAACAATCAACCCACAGACGCACAATAAAAACCGATGAATTACGGTGAACGGTGATGGTATAACGCGAAAAAAAGGAAGAGAAAAGAAGGACCGAAAGGAGGAGGAGGAGGAGGAGGAGAAAAAACAGAAAAAGAGCATGATTCAGATACGCGGGCCCGACCAGCCAAGGTCCCAGCGACGAGGAACTTATTAGCCACCCCGCGTTTCTCCCTTCCTCCCTCATTTCTCTTCGCGCCGCTCTTTCTCTCCGCGCTGCGAACGCGCGTTTAATTGATACGTATGTGCGCGAACCGGTCCGCTCGAAATTACAAACGACAGCCTATTACGAGAGAAGAAAGCGAGCGAACGAGCGAGCGAGCGCGCGTAAAAACGGCCGCGGCCGATCAGACGCGTCGCTCTTGAAGATCGCGCCGCATCTTGTCGAAATTCAAATCGGAATTTCCACCGCGACGCCGCTTCTTTCGTCGCTTACGCATTTCGCTTACGGATGTCTTATTGTTCGCGATGGGAGGGAACAGTGAAAAACGAGCGGCTGGCTCGCGCGCAAACAACAAGCGACCGCAATAAATTGCGGCGTTTCGAGAAAACATCGTGAAAATTTATCGGCGATTTATTCAATATTTGTTCTGCGCTATTTGTTCGAGTGGCAGGCGTGGTTCTCGTGCCTCGGATATAAAAAAGTTTTCCCGCACGACTCGGCGACGGATTGCCGAAAACCGACGCTCGCGGAATTTTTCGCTCGCCAAATTTTCCGTTTCGCGAATTCTCCCTTCCCTTTGCGTCACGGATTTCGAATTAGAACTCAATCTCAGGATTTTTGAACTGTCTGTTCGAGAAAATATCCGTCTTCATCGACGATTTATCTTTTGCACTCGGAATGCCAGCACAACTGGCATGAACATTTATTCCGGCAACTCGGAATGCCAGCACAACTGGCGTGAATATTTATTCCGACAACTCGGAATGCCAGCTGTGCTGGCATGGAAAAGATTTAAAGACAGAAAGCAATAAAACAATAAAATGTAGTGACAACATTAAAAAAAATAAATATCCTTCTTTGCAGTTTTTCTAAGAATATAGAAATTATGTTTTAATTATCGAGTTGGTGAAAGGAAACGTGAAAATATTCCTCGAGTGCAAAGTTAATCTTGGCGCGCTTCACTGCATGCAGCGACTTGAGAAAATATTGAATGATCAGAGAGTCTCTCGCGACATAAGCAGTATTTCAATTGTAATCTTTATTCTGATTTTCTACACTATTGTCATAAATTTCCGACTATCTCCGAGACAACACGAGCGGCGACGATTTCGTCGCCGGACGAGTGTCCGCATTAACATTCAGGCGATGCCGACATAAAAAGCTGCCCCGGATGCCGCCAATGTTTCGGCAAAGCATTCCAATTGCGCTGAAAGTCTCTCGTCCCGTCGCGTTCCATATGACTCACGTTGCCGAAAATGCGAATCTTAATTATGCGTTAATCGAAGAGAAAGCATCGCACGCCTCGAAGCTCGAAGATCACCGGCGATCTGTCAATTTTTCTGGCATTTGACCACTCGACCAAACGGCCGGGATTGCGTTAAAACGAGCGACGAGTGAAATTTCATCCGAGCAATTTTGCCCGACAGTCATAAAAATCTACATGAAACTCCAACCGCGGCCGAGATCTCCGCTCGGCAAGAGCCGTAAGAGCAACGCGCCGCATACCGAATAAGCGCGAACAAAACGGATACTGTTACTTCCATCGGTCGTAAGCGGATCGTAAGCGCAAATTCCGGCGGAATTAATTCCCGACCGAACGAGTGACCCGAGAGAGCCCCGACAATCTCAGAGACGGACGCGCGATCTCGGCAATTTACTCGCGAAAAACTCGCAAAAACCGGCAGCGAGGTGGAGGAAAATCCCCTGACTGAGCGGGAAGCAACTCTTCTCAGTTCATCGAAAGCACGTCGTCAAAAGCGGGATTTTCGGCGCCGGTTGTTGTTGTTATCAACAAATCGCTCGTTCGCGGGCAAGGATACGCCGCGACGCACTCCGCGAGGAAGGAAATTTTGTTAGTCTCACCGCAAATTATAGCGACTTTCAGCGCCAAGCGTGTCTCTTGGCTGCCCTGACAGAGGGATAGTAAAGTAGCAACATGCAAGCCGTCATGAGTAACACTGCAGCCGTAGAGCTCATCGCGAAGAGGTGGCGGTCTCTCCGAGACGGGGAGAGACACGGAAGGAGCGAAAAAAGAAATATGTATATATATATATATATGTGTATATATATATAGATGTACAGCAAAGAGAGAGAATGACTTCAGCATGCAATTCTTACGGTCGCGAATGCCGGGCACTTTTCGTCTCAGCGTATCTCGCGAGCTGCAGGTCGCGAGAGGACGCGCTGCGAGAGAGTACTCGCGCCGCCCGGGTACTCTCTCGAACGCGAGCGGCGCGCGCTCGCGCGAGACAAATAAACTTCGCTCTGCGTGTACTTACTTAATATGTATCCTCCCGCGAAGTGTGTACGTGTGTAACGCGCGTGTCGCTTAAAAGAAAGTCAATATAACTGGCGCTGGTTTCGTATCCCTTCTTCTCTTATACCATCCTCCGGATCTGGCCGGTGCCCCCCTACCTGGCGGTCCGGTGCCCGTCCGCGGATCCGCGCCGTCCTTCGATATCCTATGCTGGTCAACATATTACATTGACTCCTCTCGGCGTTGCCCGATGCCTCTTCGCCAATTTTATTCCTGACACTCTCGTCCGCTCTCCACCGAGAAAGAAAGAGAGAAAAAAATCGAGATAGAGAGGGAGGGTGGGAGGGACGAAGGGGGAGAGAGAGAGAGAGAGAGAGAGAGAGAGAGAGAGGAGAGAGGAAGAAGGAGAGAGAGAGGAGAGAGGAAGAAGGAGAGTACACTGGCCAACGTTACCCACGCATCTCGAGTGCGTTTCTACAGGGTGATCGTTTGACGGTGTCCGTTGAGGCAACTCCGAGACGTGTCTCTCCCCCTGTCAAGAATTATACATCGGACGCAATATCGTTCTCTCCTTCCTCTTTATTTCCCTCCTTTCGTTCCTCTGCTTCTTCTCTCTCTCTCTCTCTCTCTCTCCCCTTCTCCGTCCTTCTTTCCCTCTCTCCTCCCGCGGTAATTACACGCCTTGCAAATCACTTTCTGTCAAGGCCCGTGAAATTCGCCGGGAGACGCGCGATCTTCTGTTATCTATGGGGATTCCGGAGGCGCACTTCATCAAGGAAGGAACTTTCTTTTTTGATCAATCGCAACGTAAAAATTATTCATACGTCGACATGTTCGTTAAGGGAAACGGTCGTTTCACCTCTCGCCTCTCGTCGAGGGACATCGTGCCACGTGCGCCGAAAATGCGTCGAACACCCTGTGTGTGTTCACGCATATCCGGCGCACCTGGCCGCCTCCCGAAAGTGCGTCGCGAGATATCTCGCGAAAATCGATCTCCCCGGCCGACGCAGCGCCTCGCACCGCGATGCCGAACGTGATCGCGAATGTGATAAATAAATTTAACAATTAAGTCGATGCAACGTAAACGTAGCAACGACACTGGCAACGATCGGACGGCAACGCCGAGAGTCTCGCCGGCGAAATAGTTGTGACATTGACCCACATATATGTATCGCATGTGGAATTAAAAACGGTGACTAAATCTACTGATTCATACTAATTTCTCTGCGATGACTCCCAATGCCAATGTGACATCAGGTGCTGGCCGTTAGACGAATCTACAAAAAGATTTCGCAAATTGCCACACATTACCCGAAATGACCTTACGTCTCTCTGCACGGGGAGAGATCCCCCCCGGTGAAAAATTACGATATTATTTCGTAACGGAGGAATGTGACATTGCAACACATTCCGCTTTGTATTTTATTATTCTTTCGTCTCACGAGTTCTGCTTATACTTAAGACTGGAATCTACCATATTAAAAAAAATTACTACACTTCCTTAGCGAGATAAATAAATTCTACTAACATTCTACATCTACGCTATTAAAAAAACTATTAAAAGAAATTGAAAACAATTTCTCACACGCAGAAAGAGAAGCTCTAACATTCCTCCCGCGTGCGAGAATTCGAGAATAAAGAAACCTCGTCTTTCAATTGATCTCGATCCACGAAAATACATATATAAGTCCCGAAAATTGCAACCTGCAAATCGCTCGTGGAAGAGAACGCGAAGTTGCTCGAGTCAAAACCAGACCGATCGTCCGGCTGAGAAGACATTTTCTCAATTTCGAGCTCAAACGTCCGTCGAGAGCGCGGTAAGTCGGCGGCGACGAGTGTGTCGGCTGCGATAGTAGCATAATCATCGTGAAAATCGCGATTTCGCAAGTACAAGATCGACGTAAATATCTCCTCAGAGGTAGTCGAGAAAGACGACGGGGATCGAAGAGTGAGGGAGGGACGCGGGCCTCATGACCATGACAGGATGATCCGGGTGTCCCCACACCCGGAATGAGTCGACCCGTCTCCTCGCGATGAGAAGAACAAAACCAAATCTAAATATGTACACGTGGGCGGACATCGTGGCGGCCGCCGCCGCCGCCGCCGTCTCCTTTGCGCTTCTCTGCAAGAGATTGGAATGCCGTTAACGCGCTCGCTATCAATTGGTCGTGTATCACTTTCTATCTACGACACACAACCGGCACCTCTCTCGCCGTGCGGATTAGCATACCGCTTTCCATAAATATGAAAGATTGCCCGTAACCGCGAAAACACGTCCACACATTTTACGACTGGAACGTCCTCACCAATTCTCGAGCGTTATATGCACATTCGTATGCAGCTTTGCTGCCCGGGCGAAACATTTGAAGTAACATGCCGTGATTTCGTCAACGCGCGAATCGCACCTTTGGAAACTTCATGAATAAAGAAGCGGTAACGTGTGAACGAACTATGAACATTTTCACGACACCGCAAATTACCGCGTTACGGAGCGACACAGAGTAGTGTGCGCGGGTGTGACGCACGATGCTTAGTAAGAGCGAGCGAACCGTAGGCACTTTGGAAAAAAAAACCGAAATGCGATTTCGATTATTCATGGCGATACCACACGCCTGTCGCCTGTCCACGATATTATTATGCCGGGATATTGTACTGACAGATTCCGGGAATATCAAGTATGATAGTCGAATAAATCTGATCATGTTAATGTAACGCAAAAATATTTCTTCAGACGATACATATCGATTCGCCGAACTGTATATTGTCGGGCAATGGTGGAAAGTGGCTTGAAACGAAGCGAAACCGTCGACAATTTATTGGGATTTTTTTCAAAATGAGAAGCGAACAGAAAGAAAGAGACGGAATCACTTTTGCCTCTTAAAACATATTTTTTTGGAGCCTCTACATTATTTTACATTTCTCAACAAATTATTATAAGTACGATAAATATTAAACGAGACGAGAAGGATCGGACGGAAGCTAAGCAAAGGTTAAGAAGTACCGTAACAAGATCGCTAAGTTAAAAACAAATCAATTATACTATAATTAATGCGTTATACTATAATTATGCATTAATGAAACATACAAACATGACACATGTGTGGAAAAAGATGTATAAGGGATAAGATATTTACAAAATTTACAGAAAAGTAAATTCTTGTAGAATTTGTTATATATCTATCTACATGTTGTACTTAGAAGAAAATCAGTCCTTTCGCTATGAGAAAAGACACTGTGTATATGTTATCTCATATCACTATCTCATATGCTATCAATATCACAAGACATTAGAGGTATCTCAATTGAATTAAACCTTAATTTATTTTACCGATTATAATATATAATCGAATTTACGAATCAAAGTTTAATTCAAATAGATATTTACTATTAAATAGACTTTGCACTAAATTTCACTATACTGAAAAACTCTCGCCGCATCCGCATGTCCCTTTAATGTTGGGATTATTGAATACAAATTCGGAGCTCAATTTGTCTTCAACATAATCCATTTCCGTTCCAAGGAGTGACAGCTGTGCCTTCCTGTCGATAAATATGCGAACGTCATCTTGGACCACTTCCTCATCCAGCTTGGATTTTTCTTTCGCATAATCCAGGGTGTAACTCAAACCATTACATCCACGTTGTCGCACTCCAACCTTAAGAGCAATCTATAAATCAGAGATAAACATATGTTTACTTTAATAACAAAAATTTAACAAGTGTGCCTTCCCTTAGAAAAACTTATTACAACAGCTTCCAACTTCGTTATAAAAAAAAAATGCATCTAAACCGTGCTGCAATATAAAACATTAAATTTTATAAACATACAGTTACATATATGTATGCTTAGTTTTCAAATTTCATTATATAAACGCATACTTACGTATTCACTCTTGTCTTTCAAAATCTCTTTAATTTTGTTGACAGCGCTGGGTGTCTATAAAATACAAAACACGTTTCTTCATTTCATTCATGTATTTACATGAAAATGTATCCTTGAAAAGTGAGGTTATAAAACATGGACATAGACATAGTGTTGCAACATTACGAAATAACGTAAATGCGCAAATGCATAATAAACAAGAATGAAGGCGCTTCGCAAAATCCATCATCGTAAAACTTAATGACCACAAAATGCGATCCATTTGACGGTATACGCGCGACAAATTGTCACCTGAGCTCATTATTTATCTTCGTCCCCCGACAAGCGTGTTTTCGTCACAAAAAAAATGACAAACAAAATTAATTAAACAATGCTACAAATAGCTTCAAGAAAGGAGATGAGAAAGAACAATGTTAATTAAAAACGCTTACCAGAGTAAGCGCAGCTCGAGTCGCAAGAATTTTCCTTCCTTTTACAGCTCGAATCGTCGCGGATGCTATCGTCCGCGACGCCATTTTTAACGATGACAAGGACGACCTCGGCCCGATCAGCTGATGAGACTTATACGGCCTAGAGGAGACGCTCGAGATGATCAGCTGATCGTGCATGTGCAACTGTTATAAACGAACAAAACGACTACATTCTGAAACTCACTGTGCGCTCAATAAACGATTGTAGTAATGAAATACGCGCGTGTCTTACTTCAAATGCAAACAATACCGCGATTCATAAAAACGCACATAAAAACTAAGCAGTAGCACTTTAAACGATATGAGTCGATTGACCAATCACAGTTGAGAATTATTGAAAATTGTACCTAGAAAAACATGGCGCTTGAAAGCCACTGGTAGTCGCGACTCTATAAGAGTCTAGTAACTCTAGACTTGCTATACGTGCAAATGTGATTCAAGCAAAGTTTTTTGCTCGCCTCCGTGGCAGTTAAATGTGGTTCCTGTGACTGCGCATATTTTTTTGATCGTGGGGACAACGTACACGTTGTCCCTGTTTTTCTCTTACCTCTTTTATCGAGAAGAATGGCGTAGGGGCCTACTCCCATATGCCCAGAGCCATATATTGAAGGAAAGAAGGAAGTGATTCAAGCAATTCATCATTGCCTTGCGATAAAGAGGAAATATTCACGATGGTAAAGTGATGAAAATTTTTAATTGTATCGTTTTAGTGATTGTTCGATCGTTCCCGTGTTGTTCGATTGTTTAGTCATGGTAATTATTGCTTTGTCAAGTACTATCAACTAGAGCTATTAGGCTTATTAGTCGTTGTGTTGCGCCTACATGTAATTATCCATATTTTATCATTTTGATCAAATGCCTAGTTCTAATTATGTATACACATATTCTTTCAGCATGGTCGAGTGAAGGTACGTACTACAGCGGAGCAAGAGGAAATACAGAGGAAGGAAAAAGCCGCTAAAATTGCTCAATATAAAACTAACATTGCCATAGTATTTCAAAAGGTAAAACATCATTCCTTGTATGTGCAATATGACACTCCTCATATGTAACTGACACAAGCTCATTGTGTTACTCATATTTTAGAGGAAAGATGAACTGTGGGATGATGAGTTACTGTCAATTACCAAACATATACTGTTAAGTAATCCAGATATTTATACATTGTGGAATATTCGACGTGAAGCTTTCCAGAAGAATAAATGGTAATATTTCATTATTATGTTTGATAAATATAGTAGAAATTAAAAAGTAATAATGAAAATGCAGGAATGAGGAAGAGTACAAGCAAATGCTCGAGGATGAGATGAGCTTAACTGAAAGCTGCCTCAGGGCAAATCCTAAGTCATATAGTATATGGTACCAAAGATGTTGGGTTATAGAACAGATGCCTGAGCCTGACTGGAAGAAAGAACTAGGGCTGTGTGCAAAATGCCTAAATCTAGATGAAAGAAATTGTTAGTCTACTAACTTGATTCATTATTGTACAACTTGTACAACATACTGCAAAAAACTGAAGATACAAACTCTGATACAATAAAATCACAAAGTTCTCTTATACTTTCAACAATCCAATATATTTAAAGGCATTCTTTTGTTGTAGTTCACTGCTGGGATTACAGAGAGTTTGTCGTGCAGAAAGCTGGGATCTCTAATGAGGAAGAGCTAGAGTTCTCTAACACGAAAATACTAAATAATATCTCAAACTACTCGTCCTGGCATTACAGAAGTCGAATATTGTTCAAGATGTTTGGCACTACGTCGGAAGAGATACCAATCGTAGATGAAAAGTATAGAGAGGGTAAGTTTCTTTTGCAACATGATCAAAAGATCATCACCAAAGTACTGTCCTTTGTGCTAAATATTTCGGGAAATAACAGATAATATCGCACAGAACTCGACCTGGTGATAAACGCGACATTTACTGATCCTAACGACACTAGCGCATGGTTCTACCAAAGATGGCTTTTGGATAAACACGTAACTACCTGTCGGCTGTGGCGTGCATACGTTAAGAAAGACACCGCTGTTGTTGTTCTCGACAACAACATGCTGATCAAACCAGTTTCGCTATCGTTACTTGTGAACAGCGAGACTGCCGATGTGGAATGGCAGTTATATCCGAATGAAAAATTTGCTAAATTACGAATTGCTGAATTTGCTAATCCACTGGAGGACTTAAATCGCATTAAGGAAATTTCGATAGAATTACAAGAGACGGTGTACCAGCTGCGTTATTCGGATTCGGAGGACGCCTGGATTTACAAAAATAATTCGAGTCTGCACAAACAAAATAGCAACGACAAACAATTAAACGAACAGTTAGAAAGCTACAATCAGTTATCCAAAATGGAACCGGATAACAAGTGGGCCTTGTTGACTGAGGTACTTCTGATGAAGAAGATTGACCTTTCCAAGTTTTGCACCAATATTTTAAATAACCTGATGACACTGTCAAAAGTAGACTCCTTTCGTTCAAATTATTATAAAGATTTACGTAAGTACAGCAATACTCATATTGCTCGTATGTGAAGAAATATAATGATTCTCGATCACCAACTCTGTCCGTTGAATATAAACAAATTTAATGTGGGAATAACATCTGCAATTCTAGGAAGCAGACTCTTGGTGGAGTACAAATTGCATGAAATGTGGAAGGAGGAGAGCAATTTGGAGATACGATCGAAGATCGATTTATCAGGATTAAGCTTGACGAGTTTGCACAACAATCACTACTTTAGCCTCTTCGAGGAAGTGAATCTCGGTGCAAATTATTTGAAGGATCATTTATATCAATTTTCCACGTTGCAACGATGCACAAAACTATCATTGTCTAGTAATGACGTAACGTCGTTGAAGCATTTTCCTATCGTGCGCAATCTCGAATTTCTGTCTATAAGGAACAACAAATTGGCGAGCACGGAGGAAATACTAGACTTTGTAAAACGGCATGAAAAACTAAAAAGATTGGACTTGAGAGACAATCCAGTGTGCGATGAGATCGATACGACCAAAATTCGCGAGATAAACCCTTACTTGGAGATATGCTTACAATAACATTTAATATGTATAACTATTGAAATTTGATATGTTGCATATTAAAATGTATTTAATAGTAACTCTTGCATAACTTGTCAAATAACTGTTTCCACCGTTCTTTCCACGAAGATACTGAATTCAGCTATTAAGTGAAAAGAAACTTGACTGCGTACAGCATCATTTCGCGTTCCTTTATTCTACCAACAGAAGAGACGCCTATCTACTAAGAAACATCGTATATTCGTTATCTCGTTTCATATATCTGCAAGAAAATTCCTCACATATGGACGAATAAATAAAGATGTAGCAGAAAATTGATACGTAACCATAAGTTTCTTCGTTCTGACTGAACCGCTACCACGATTAAAATCACACATGAAATATTTTCGACGCGAGCGAAAGTAAAGTTTACCTAATTAAAACAGAATGTTTTGTATTCGAGACTACATGTTCTGGAAATAACTGGAATAGCTGTCCGTGTCCAAGTCCGCCGAAGTTTTCGACGAATCGCCCGTATTGCACGGGATCGTCGGTATATGCGATCCCTGAATGGTAAAGCCATGATAATCCTCGGAGCTGATAGGCTTCAAAGCGGGCGGTAAATTCGCTTCAGGTGTCGGACACTCGTCCATTAAACTGTCTGTATGTTTTTTGAAGAGCTGACTGGTCTCACCGGTCGCGAGATCCGATTGGGTATCCAAACTGATAAGACTAGTCTCATCCTCGCCTCTACTAACTTCCAAACTGTCATCACCGATGAAGGATGGAAAATCGAATGTCGGCGACGGCGTCACGGAATCTTCCACCAATGATGTTCTCATCAAGTCGCTCGACAGGTCTGTCATTACGTTGCCATTCAGGTTTTCGCCGGTGGACTGCGGATATATCTGTTCGAGTAATGCAAATTAATGCCTAACAAAGCCCGATCATGAGAGATAAATATCGTAAGCTGGTCTCTCTCTCTCTCTCTCTTCTCTTTTTCGTTTTTCTCTCACCTGTGGAATAATCGGCGGGGGCAGCTGATAACTCTCAACGTCTTCGCTATCCAGATTGGTGGGTACTCTTTGACTGTGAGTTATTAGCAATGGCGTCCTTTCGATCACCTTATTCACACCTTCTTTGATCTTCTCGTTGAAGTCCATCATTTGGTTCTTCAACTCCTCCGCCTGCTTTATGATGTCAGTATTTTTCGCTTGCAAATCGTCCAATAGAGTTATGTCCTCGCACATGAAGTGTAGACTCTGATAATCGAAACGTTATAGATCCGCGTTTATCTTATAAATCACGATAAGATAATGGAATCTTAATAGAAAACAATATCGAAAATCTTACTTCGCATATCATAAGAGCCGACTGCCATGTATTGGCTGGCACGCACTCACCCGACATGTACGCATTAAAATCTTTCTCGGCCATGTTCAAGGATTCCGCGGTTAAGTTTTCGATGAATGACACTGCGCAACACTGCAACATTATAAATATCCGTCCAGAATGTTCTCTTATTGCAACTTGTGGCTCGCAACAGCCGCAAGAGCGTCATTTACACTTGACTTAAGATTATACCAGATTCGTGAAGTAATATCCTCCCTCTCCAGTCATCAGTCTACTGGCGTTGCAAAACCTTGTAATAAAATTGATATTGCTCTTGAGACGCGCAGGATTAGCCTTTAAAACGATGAAGATGAGCGCCGGCAGGAACTCGTCGGCCGACGCCGGCCCGTCGACGGACTGTTGCAACAACAAGAATATATTTCTACAGCAATGAATAACGCACGCTAATTTCTCCTGAGGCGCTTTCGCGGAATCCATATTTAAAAGATCTGAAAGAAATTTGGAGATGTTCTACGTCACGCTGTGCGATGTCGATGTTGAGCAAGACTGCTCGATGATCATCATCGCAACAAACCTGTAATGGACGTGTAAACGAGTTCTCTGACTTCCGAGCTCGTCTCGTGGATTCTGCATTCCAAATTCTTGCCACTGACCCAATTCAACTGTCGTATTCTGATAGAAATAAGCTACTATGTTGCACTGTTTTCTCTCTTTAGGTTTCTTTTCTTTTGCAAACTCGCAAACAGCCCGAGCCACTTCATAATTTGGGTACAAACCTTTTCTGTATAGCCAAATCCTTCTCTTCGTCGGTTGTGAACGGAGGACAGAAGAGAATCCTGTACAATAGTGTCATCGCGTACCTCTCGACATAATCTAATAATTTTTCCTTGATCTCCGGTGGTATGTCTGCAATAAGGTAACAGGTGAGCCCAGATATTTTCCCTCAAGCTCAACTCAAGCCTAACGCAAGTTAGAACCTGCATATTTGGCGCTGTTCTCCAGGCGTTTTCCAAAGACATGGTAAAAATTTTGCGTTATTTCCGACAGCTCCTCTATCCTCTTCACATCTTTGTTCTGAAGTATGTCTACTACGAACGAATGTATACACTTCCTCACGTCTTTCTCCACAGGAGTCTTGGCTATGTATAACAACAAATCTCGATTCTCAGCCTTCACCTTCTCAAGATCCGGATTATCCTTCAATAGCTCATGATACAATTCCTGATATCCTTGAACTTGAAGCACATCGGAAAAGGCAGAACGATAAAGAGACGCTTGGTGATAATAAACGGCTATTTTCGACGTCGCAACGCAAGCGACGTTATTATGTACCTTTTGCGACGGGTTTCCTGAAGGAGATGTTCAACAATTTGTACTTTTTCTCATGCTGTACCTTTTTCTCCTCGTACTTGTGACTACCGGCAACCACCAGGCGATTGACATTATCTCTGTAAGCGCAACGTAAACACACTGTGAGAAATTGCTGCGCACCCGTCGAGGAAAAACGCGCGACAGTACGAGGATACATTACGTGTCCGAAAGCTGCGCATGAGACACGCGTTCGGCTTGGGCTCGCCGTTTCTGCAGATGTTCCCGATGACATTTGCTGCAGTAGCCTTCCCATTCCGCGTTGCCGTAGAAGCCGCAGCCGTTCTTGCACTTGAGATCGGCCTCGTCGATTCGCAGGGTTGGCGTCTTCGTCGAATACATGTTTGTGAGCGCGATTAAAACTCGCCGAATATTGTAATCAGAAGCTCAAGCTTTTCTTTTAATCGCCAACCTCCGGAGATCGAGGATCAGTCTCGTTTTCGCCGGCGGAGTTAGTTACTCTGATAGTAAAGAACCGGGTTCTGTAATCTTACGTAGTCTAACCAAACCTAACCTAATTTCTACGAAGTATTTAAATCTAGCTGAGAGAAGCAGACGCACGCCTGTTGTGTTTTCCCGTTGTGATTTTCAGATGTCATTTTCGCTTCTCGTGCGGTCATCGAGTCTGCTCCTGCGATGATCGATCGGGCTCATTTTACCGAAATAAGGAGCGAACTGACGGAACACAAACAAGACAGCAGAAAGCAAACGTTATGACGTGGGTTGAATTAAAGAAGATCGGGCACATGACGTTACAATTCGAACATGTCAGCGACCGATGGTCGGTTTAAATGTCCAACGTTAGATGACGTTTGCAAGGAGCACCACGTGACTGTGCGATATATTTTTCGTTTTCACATGTATTAACGTATGTATTAACGGACGTTATCTATTTGATTATCTTGAGCCAGCTTGAGCATACATAAAATTATTGCGTACATTCTGCGAAAGGTATTACAGGGAGAGACTTTTATATTTTACACATTTCATATAAAATCTAAAAAATAATTTTTAAAAATGCCGCCTGTTTGCCATTTTCGGTTTCATCTTTTCACAACTTGTTCTTTTTTTTTGTTCCTCTTTCTTTGGTTAAGACTGCATCAAGTGTTCCTTGCTAAGTAAATTAAATGATTATTTTTAAGAAATAAGGCATGTGTTCTATTCGTTTCTTGATCAAGCTTATTATTAATTCACATGGCAGTAAAACGCACATCACGAGTTCACGAGCAAAACATTGCGGCGACGTCACATAATTGTCGATTACTGAGAATATGCTATGTTTGTGCAGGAAAAAGTCAGAAATACATCATGACGATTAAAATGAGCGATTCAAGGTCAATGGGCGATCATCAAATGGACACTGCATCCATTAAATATGAATTAACTTGTTGCTCAAGCAAATTCACAAAATACGCTCGCCGAGAAGAAACGCGTTTATGTATTTCGTTCTCGTTTATCGACGAACGCCGCTGGCAAGGTTAGTATCATGGAATTCTGCGAAAATGATTAAAATTTTGAATCGCATTGGAGATTATCTGCTACTTATCAGTTATTCGCTGTCCTATTATAGAAAACGATGTCACGCTTCTATGAATCACATGGCAACAAGCAGGTAGAAAAAAAAAAGACACTGGTCACTGCGAGGCAACTATCCGAATAGCGTTATTTTCTACAAACGTCATTTTTCCGCAAAATGACGTGGGAATCAATAAGAAATTCATCATCGGACGAGAAATCAAGTCGACGGAATAGCACAGGAGGTTATCGAATCTGAGACAAACTTGATAGGATAACATAATAACGTAGGTCGACACAAATCAACGTTAATAACAACCAATGATGCAATAACATCTGGAAAGAAACCAAGACAGCGGATTGGCACGGGAAGGTACTGAGAAACTTTGACGAGCCCCCCATAACACGATAACATAGATTGACATAAATCAAAGTTTCAGATTATCGCGCGAGCGGGCCGCTTTTACTCGTCGAGGTTGAACTTGCGAGCAGCCGCGAGCCGCGAGGTTTCGCGATTTCGTGAGACACACGTGAATCCGGATGCGAGGGACGACGAGGACGTCGCGTGCACGCTTCCCCAATCCTCCCGTCGTGTTTTGCGCCGCGCGAGGCACGCGCGACCGTCTCGCAATTATTGCGCGATTGTCGCCGACAAGGAAAGTACCGTCACGTTTCACAAGAGGAGTCGATCACGTTCGTCCCGCGGCGGTCAACGAGGAAGCATCACGAGGAAGCGAGAAGTTAAGGTGCGAGGAAACGACGCACGCGAGGGGAAAAACGCGACGAGGCGGAAAAGTCGCGCGCGAATCGCGAGTAGCGAATTCGATAACGTAGTAACGAGATACGCATCTGCACATGCATACGTATACGTATTTCCTCGCACGCATTTCGACTGCCGGGTATCGCGCGCGGCTGATAAGAATTGAATTCTTGCGCCGGAACAATGATTGACGTCGCGTAACTACTGTCGCGGAGGTCAGTACGGGCTACGTTCGTCTAGTAGTCGTTTCCTGCGCACCACAGTTGCCCCGACGAGGAGTTCTTGCACAGCAAAGAGGTGTGTAGCCGATTCAATCGCCGGTCTAACGATCGGCCAGACGCGCCAACTGCGGATAATAACGATACATTTTTCGTCGAGGATCGCCAGCCGCTACGATCTCTTCGGTCGCCTATTGTCTCTTTCTCTCTTTCTCTTTCTCTCTCTCTCTCTCTCTCTCTCTCTCTCTCTCTCTCTCTCTCTCTCTCTCTCTCCCTCTCTCTCTCTCTCTCTCTCTCTCTTTTCCTCTCGTTTTTGCGACTTTTTGCCGTGTGACTTTTTTCCTCGCATCCAGTGCGTAAGTTGTCACGTTGTGTTGCCAAGACGGACGAGTCCCGACGTCGCTCGAATGAATTTCGTCGTTGCGAAGTGTCCTCTCAGTGCTCTTGATTTCTTCTGTCATTAGACCAATGCGACGAGAAATTTAAAGCTTCGAAGAGAATGTTATTTACCGAGTAGTATTAAAGTGCCGATAAATTAACGTTGGAAAATTAAGCGGCAGCCGGCTTTATCGCAGAAACCTTTTTACAAAGGAAGGACCGGATTGAAAGTTTTTATTTCGCTGTCACATTCTTTCGAAACAAACGCTCAAAAGCCAGGTCGTTATCTATGCGTAATATTACATTTGCCGTATCGAAATCTCTCTATTTCCCTTGGCTTTCCCTTATCGCGCGAATGGCGCGTCATTCACAAGCTCATAAATTGTATTTCGCTAAAAATACAATATAAGCACTCACTCCTTCGCTGGCGTACAAACGTATGCAAAGCTGCATGATAAATGTGACGAAACAAAAGAGAGAGGCCATCATTGATGTAAAATGCATTACTTCGGACGGTCGCATTGCTGCTATATCGCTATATTGTACGTATTGTACGTATTTTCTATATCAGATATATTCGAATTTTAAGCTGTCCATATTTAAATCGTCAATGTCTCACCGTGCGCTTTATCTTTCGAGACATTTGCGAGACTTAGAAACGCGCAAAATGCGCGAGTCGGACGTCGACTAGTGAGCCGAGCGAAGAGCAAGTGCGAATAAATCGACCCGCTTCTTCAAGCAATAACTCAAACGTGTTCGATTAAAATAACTGATAACTAAATATGTTGAAATGTTTGATAGCGCAAAGATTTAACATTCACGTACGATTTCGTGTCCATATCGAACTTTTGAAGCTTTTGATTTTCGGCGCTATCGTTATTGACATATGCGAGATAAGCGTGTCTTTCGCAAGTGTTCACGTTCGCTTTGCTCGCTCGTCGTTACTTACCTGCGGGATTCGGTAGATGATTATCGCGACACACCGCATTTTCCACGAATGACGGCGACGATCGCCGTCATCCATTCGGCGAACGGAAAAAAACACGGCGGGAGACGAAAATCGTGGGTGGAACCGCCGGCGGACACGCTTTGTTACTTACGTAATGGTTACATAAATCATTTTTACGTGACCGGCGCGAACTCCAATGCTGAAAATGTGTGAGCGTATGGAATGGAGATGTCGTTTTGTTATTCTTTTTCTTTCCTCTTCATTTGTCGTATCTCTAACGATCGACTCGCTTAGTTAGAATTAGTACATCCGTCGATGAGGTACGCTGAAGTGCTTAACGGCGCGGAATAAAGATGCTCGTTGTATCTTGTTTTATAAGCGCAACTTTCCCGAACTTTTTCCCGAACCTCGGCTGAGACTTTTTAGACTTTCAGCTCTTACGTCGTTATTCTAAGTGAATGTATACGTTCGCAGTTAGTGATTCACCGATGAATTCATTAAACGTAAGCGCGTAATACGTTATACTTGTAATCAAGATGGACGTTGATACTTGAATTGAATGATTTCGCATAGCACCTGCCGGTGGATATTTTTCAATGGGATTTTTTACACATCGCGAAGAATAATTCGATAAATTGCGAGCAATTCAAGCATATTACGATACGACGGCAACACGTGCAGTGTCAGCGAGGCAGATAACACGCGTACGTCACGTTGTGAGAGATAAACTTTGCTCAATTATTCACGATGCTCAAATCTTTTTCTATTTTCGTGCAAAATATTGCGATTTCCACGCCGGTTGTTCCACGATTCCAACGGATTTCCTCACGAAGTGAAGCTTTACTCGTCATCGTTTACTTGGAAACTTCCGATAACACTTCTGGAAAGTGTTACACCTGAATGTATCCTTAAAAACTTCCAAATTTATTATGCTATTAGTCGTTATTCAATATTGATCCAGTAATATGTCCAGAGTACTTGTCAAGAAGATTATCTGCTCGGACGAAATGACCTGATTATTTGGACAAACGTAGATAAACATACAATAGCGCACCGAGGAAGTATCATTCAAAGATATCGTTTACGATCGATCTTCGAAGCTAATCTTCGTCTAATCTCGTTACACACGGACGAATATCCGGGGAAATAAAGGAATCGTGACAATCAGGATTGCTAATTCTCTGCTGCTAATTCGCGGCTTCGTCTAATCAGCGCTTCAAACTCGCCTCTCCGCGCTCTGCATTCTTATTGACAGTTGCGACATGCATCTCGTACGCGTTCTACTGAATGTTTATACTTTGCTTATAGCGTGCAAATAAGCGTTCGCGGCGAGCATCGCGTACTTTTCGAAAAAAAACTGATCTAAAATGTTAAAGCGAAACGACGAACGAGGAACGTCTATTTAAATTTTTTTCTTTTTTTTCTAGGAAGATATGTTCAGAGTATATTTACGTAGCTGCGAGATAGCGGCGAATTCCGACGCATTTGGCACATTCACTATTTAATCATAAACGCACATAAGACGCGCTCGATAAATTTTCAAGATATTGTATAAATTAATGTCGCGCTCGATACCGTGATAATGTTGTTTCGCGTTGCGAAAGTGCACTTCCTCGGATTTAAACGTACGAGAAAAGGAGAAAAAATCGCGATAACGTGCGATTTTAACTTGCTCGTAAATATTATTTTTCACACGCATTTCGATTATGTAAAACTTCGATCTATATCATTCGATAAACATTCGCTCGCTCGTTCGACGACGTGCGAAATCGTGGCGTGTCGTTGGAAAGCAACAAGAGAGGGTCAACAAGAGAGAGAGCGAAACAATAAAAACGCAGGATAACAAAGTGAAATTGTCAGACAAGTTTTCGGATTTGATGAAGCTTGATTGTACTGTATAGTTTGCAAAGGTGAAGGTTCACGATTCTAGATAACAAAGTAAGTTTCTGTGCGGCAAATATGGAATTTACGCGTCTACTTAATACGAAAGTAAAAACTGCGACGTTTGGAATATTTTAAACCAGAGCTCGGCAAAGTTTACAACTTTCGGCCGATTCTCCGGAGCTACGCCTCCTATCTCCTCTTACCGCGCGGCGGCGGATCCAGCAAACTGACGGTCGCGGTTCGCGACCTCAGGACCGTTGAGATCATAAGGCGCATATATATTTTTTTCCTTATAATTTTATAATTAGAAGGTAACATAATAGGTTTCCTCGTCATGACGTACTATTGCCGACGCGGTTTTTTTGTTAAACGCGTCGGCAATAGTACGTCATGGGTGACGAGGAAACCTTATGTTACCTTCTAATTATAAGAATATAAGAGAAAAAAAAAAATATATATATATACTTATATATATGTGTACTTATACAAGTATATATTTGTACAAGTTTGTACAAAATATTATACATATAGTTGTATCGATACATCAATTTTTCAGCCTCTGAGGTGCGCTAAAGGAGCGCGCTGTCAACGCTAACACGTTATTCTATCTTTATCGCTCATTATATTTACAAGGATTGAATGACGCGTTAACGCTGATCGAACGCATCTTCAGTAGGCATCACATAGATGAACCTTATGATCTCAATGGTCCTGAGGTCGCGAGCCGCGACCGTCAGTTGCTGGATCCGCCGCGCGGTAAGGGGAGATACAAGGCGTAGCTTCCGAAAATCGGCCGAAAGTTGTAAACTTTGCCGAGCTCTGTTTTAAACGCAAAGACAGCTGCCTGTATATTAGATATATGTATATGTAATTTTTACACTTATCGTATATAATTTATTTATTTTGTTTGTCTATCTATATTTATTTATTCACACGTATAGCAAAAGATTGATCTTTGAATTTATTTTTAATTGTTATCGTCTTCTATTTTGTATGCTACGTGTTCTTGTTATAAAAATAGCATCGCGTTTACCGCGTTGAATTTTCAATTTTTTGAATTTTTGAATTTTCAATTCAAAATTATATATTCCATTTGACTTACAGGCGACTTCCGCACAAATGATTTTTACCAAATTCTCCACGAGTTGCAAGAAAAGTTGAAAAAATACGCACATAAAACGTTAATATCGTGTTGCATAATATGTTAATATGTACTGAACGAAATTAAGTCCGCGCTTCTCTCAGCACGAGACGTCACGGCGATTTGAGAGCAACGCGCGTATCTAAAGCAATTTGCATTAAACTAAATGCGTAACTGTCTCTCATCGACGCTGTCATATATGCTCAGCACGACAAAACACTTTTAATTATACTCAACTTTATTGAATTTGATGCCGTATGTTGACGTAAGGTATCGTGGAATGTGCGTTGTAAGATAAGTTGCCGTAAGCTATAATTTACGTAATCTACATTGTTATCAGAACGATGTTACTGAACGGCTAATATTTTCGCATTCGGTTATTGTTATCCACCGCCACTTCTGACCCACGTTCGCAAATGCCGACACTTTTCCGCAGTTGCTTCTGTGTGATCGAACAGAAAAATTTTTCCCTCTCTCAATACGTCGCCGAAATTCTATTCGGTATGTATGTGCAGAAAAAATATCACGTCTTTTCTCATGTAAAATTTTTGTCAAATTTGCCACGATTTCTAGTAAATTGCGGAGACAAACCGTCAGCAGAAATTATCTTAACGAGGAATTCTTTTAATAGTAGACTTTAGTTCTTAAGGTATAAATGATATATATGAAATGGGACAAGTAATATACAAATTTAGGTAGAATATCCATATGTGTTTCTCGATTATAAAATTCTCTAAATTAATTTTTGAGCTATAAAAATCCTCTCTGCGTACATGAAGAAAGGAACTTTGGAACGCGAGTTATATTCATACATTATATAACGTGACAAGCGACTATTCTCGAATTCAGAGAACTGCTCTTGATTACATATTATTATCTTGAATTAATCTCTCGCAGATAATTATTAAGTGAATCAATAAGTGAAATAAATATCAAAAAAGAAAGAACTATCTAAGATATTATAACAAACGATCAAGGAAAAAATCGAAAAAAATTAAAGAATTTCAAACCAAAAGACTGGAATTGTCTAAAATTAAAAATTAGGTGTTTATGGACAGATTTATATCAAACTATCGTATTTAGTGCTCATATATTGAAAAATATAGATATTCTTGAACAAGGCGATCTTGATAAATGCGAATTTCAAGCTTGCTGTTAATGATTTTCACTTTTGATTATGCATCTAATCTCAAAGACGTTTTCCGGTGATAAGAATTCGGTTTCCGATAATAAGAGTCTATGTTCGCGTTGAGCAGAAATACTCGCGTATGTTAAGTATTGAAACTTGGTTTATTTATCGTGATATTAAATAGCAAAAGTAGCTGTCAGAGGAGAAAGATAAACATGTACTTACAGTCGGGGACTCTATCATTTGAATCATAATCGGTCGGTAATATCAACATTCTCTAATTATCCCTAAGATTTTTGCACTTATGTGATTCCTATAAGTTCATCAGTCGGTAAATTCTCTGTTAATTGTTTCCTCAGCTGTTGAGGTTTATTCTTAGCGTAGAATTGATCCTCGCTGTTAGATGTTACGTTGTGGTGTTTTCATATTTCATCGTTTCTATCCGTCGCCTGACATCGTGACATTGACAAATGTATAAATAACAATACAGACTATCGGCGTATGGAAAAACACTCCAAGAATCATGTGTAATAGCAACAAGGATATGAAACAATGAACATACTTATGTATATCCCATCAATGGTTACATGACTGATGTTACCAATATACAGTTTGTTGTATTTGTCACAGTAATATATATCAGCATAGAAATAAGTTGAAAAGGATCTTGTCAAAATGGCAGGGAATAATACGTGGGAAGTTGAAAATGAAGCAGCAACGTGTTCCATCGTATGTGGTTCTACATTCTGATTTATATTCTGAAAATCACATTAATCAGAGTTCTTTGTGATTGCATATAAATAAATCCATAAAATGTTCATGAAAAATAATAAAATTGGATCTACTTTATATATATATATATATATATATATATCAATTAGAATTTCAACAAGCGATAATCTACATATTTTTGCTATTTAGCAATGATAAAGAACAGTATTTAATATCTTACTTTATGTTTACAGGTTGACGAAAGCACACCACTTCTGTCAGCAAATGATCAAGCCGAGATGACTGAGAACAACATTGGAATCTCTCAACAAACCCTAGTTTCTAACAATGATTACTTATCGAATCATGGAAAGAAGCTGCCGCAATATCTGGCAGGTATTGCAGCGACACTTGGTGCTCTTGCTGCTGGTATGGTATTGGGATGGTCATCTCCTGCTGGTGAAAATGGTGTGAATTTGATAAAGCAGTATCAAATATCCATTAGTCCAGAGGAATTCTCTTGGATAGGATCACTTACTACACTCGGAGCTGGTGCAATATGTATACCGATTGGTTTACTGGCGGACCTGATAGGCAGACGGACGTCCATGCTACTCATGGTGGTACCCTTCTGCGTCGGCTGGCTTCTCATTATCTTTTCCAAATCGGTGCTCATGTTCTATTTCGGTAGATTCATCACTGGGGTCAGTGGCGGCGCGTTCTGTGTCGCCGCGCCACTATATACGGCTGAGATAGCTGAGAGTGAAATTCGTGGTACTCTCGGCTCTTTCTTCCAGTTGTTACTCACCATGGGTATCCTGTTAACATATGTTCTCGGCAGCTTCGTCTCGATGCAAACGCTATCGATCATCTCAGCACTGGTGCCTCTGATCTTCTTCGGGGTGTTTTTCTTCATGCCGGAGACCCCGTTCTATTACTTGCAAAAAGGCAACGAAGACGCTGCCAGGAAGAGCTTGATTCAGTTGCGCGGCACTCACTACGACGTCGAGGCCGAGTTGCAAGCGCAACGGGAGGTGATCGAGGAGACTAAACGGAACCATGTGTCTTTCTCCGTCGCTATCCGGTCAACAGCTGCGAAGAAGGGCTTCGTGATTGCATACGGATTGATGCTCTTTCAACAGATGAGCGGTGTAAACTCCATCATTTTCTACTCCGCTGATATCTTTGTCAAAGCTGGCAGCAGTATTCCAGCCAATTACGCCAGCATCATCATCGGAGTGGTGCAAGTGGTAGCGGTCTTTGGCAGCACCCTTGTTGTCGATCGGCTGGGTAGGAGGATATTACTGCTGTCGTCTATTGTGTCGTTGTTGTTGGCGACTTTCGTCATGGGCATTTACTTCTACTGTATAAAGCACACTCACTCCTTCGACAACATCAAGTGGTTTGCGATAATCCCACTTTGCGTTTTCATCATCATGTTCAATTTCGGCTTCGGACCACTCCCTTGGACGATGATGCCCGAGATCTTCGCTCCGGAGGTGAAAGGAATAGCTGCGAGTAGTGCTTGCTTGTTCAACTGGCTCATGGCCTTTGTAGTGACCAAATTCTACAGCAACATGACAAACGCCGTGTACCCATACGGCACATTCTGGATATTCTCTGGTTTTTGCGCCGTCGGCATCTTTTTTGTTTACTTTCTGGTACCTGAGACCAAGGGTAAGACGTTGGATGAGATACAGAGAGAGTTGAATCAGGGCTGAGACTGGAGGAGCTGTAAAGAATCAAGTGTACATACATACATACATACATAATAAGATGAAATACTTAATATTCCCGTTTCCTCGCCGCCGTCATCTTCATTATATCAAAAGAAAAAAAAATGGCAACTAAGAATTTGAGTAAAGTAACACTCATAAAATAACATTTATACAATAGCCCAAAAACTTTTTTTATTCCAATGCTATTGATAACAATTATAGTTGTAACTATAACTAGTTATTAATATGACAAAATCACATAGTTAGTTAGTCGTTATAACGAGCTAATTTTATTATTGTGATTATTTTTATTATTAAAAAATGTTTTCGATATTATAAGAACCTGATTAATCACAAATATCACTTTATGGCTGTATTTTGCTTGAATGTGCTTTGCAGAAAGTATTTTAAATAAATTTCTTCGCTTTTGACATTATTTAAGGTGACCAAAGTGAGGAAATAGGAGCCTTAAGGAGAGAATTGTAAATTAATGATGTGATGCATCGCCATGTATATTAGCAATGTTCATAAGATACTATTTTATTACCTTCTTTTCACAGAAGCGTTAATATCCAAACGATACTACAGCGTGAGATGTATTCTTATTACTTATATAAAGATGTACTTATACTTATTACTTATATAAAATATTCCTCATTCTTTATAAAATATGCAATAAGACTGATTCTTCTGTAAACATGTATAGAGTTTTTATTGATATGCTTAACGATGCTATTTATGTTATGACTGTTATTATATGTACATAATATACGTGATGAACCTGAATTCACTGCAAAATAAGTTATTAACCACTTGAATCAGAATTTATATTGATGACAAAACTCTATTAAATACAAATTTGTAGAGTAAACTTTATCTTCTTCGAGTGTCGCTTTTCCTTTTCTCTCATAGATGTCTACATTGTGAAATTTCGATTGATTTCTCTGTAGAAACGAATATTCGATATGTATTCAATATGTGTAATTATTCAATAGCCCTCCCCCTTTCTTCGTATTATATACACACACACACACACACACACATACATACATACATTTGCCATCAGTAACATAAATGTATTATTTCATCATACGTATATTCCTGAAGCGCGTATTTTTAAGCTCGCGATAATTGTAAGTTTGCGTGATCGAAACATAAACATAATTTTATCAATACGCCTTAAGTACCAATTATCAAACTGAAATAACAAGTTTTGAAATCACCTAATGATAGTCTCATACGAGTGTAGCGATCAAGTATATTCTTTCCGTAGATTTCCAAATGACTTGTGTGGGAACTTGCTACTTGAAAAAAATAAGAGCGTCCATCGTACGCCGTTCGACATACAGCATCAACATCGAGGTCATCAAGCGCAATTTTTACATCCGACTAATTAAATTCAAAGGTATTCACATCTCGATCACTACCACGACCAGTCGACTTAATCGAGCGAAGTGGCCGTTAAATAAAAATTACACACACACACACACACACACACACCTCCCGATACTTTTTCAGAAAACTACAACAATTATGTACCGATCATCTCTCTCTTTCTCTCTTTCCGCTGAACTATTCGTCGAGTCATCGGAGCATCCACGAGCGCATTTGCGACGCAGCACGCTAAAATCGACATTTTTCTCGCGCCCGTCGTGGCGTGATCGCAGTTTAAAGTGTCGCGTGCATTGTACATGCACGCGTGATACGGTGTCGTTGTTAATGGACACCAAGTGGTCGCACCAACTTGGTGCACCTACGCGTGCTCCGGCAATAGAAGAGGTCAGTTCTTTTCAGCTGCACTTTCTCTCCGATTCGTCTGTCCCATCCGGCCGATCTAATGTACCTACACCTGTTTCGCGCTAAATATAGAAAGATTAACGTAGAACGCAGAGCAGCGGAAAAAGAGCCGGCCGTACGCAACGCTCGTGTTTACGTACAGCTTACGTACGTACCAGATGTCTACATTTTTGTCGCATCTCAATCAACTTCACGCTGTCTCATGGATTATTCATCCTGCACGTGGATGCTGGGCTATAGCGAATTGATTATACATTCTGTCGAAGAAGTCGCGTCCAGTCGTTAATTATTATCGCTGTTACATGTCACACTCGCGACAGACGTCACAGATTTACCAGATTATTACCATGTGAAGTTGCACCGCGATATCGCAATCGCGATTCCATGAATGATACTTAGGAAGGATGCAACTTCACATGGGACAACTGACGCCGTCGTCGCGCGTATACGGACGTTTTTATACGGACAATCGCGGAGGTTAGATCAGGTAAGCGCACTCGCCGATTTCTCGCCCATCGGGCTCGGAATATCACGATTCTCCTGTCTATCGGGAAATAGATCTCTGCGAAAGAAGTGAAACTAAACAGAGCGATACACCTCTTCCAGCTGGCACGCGTGCCCGCAGCGGGTGCATTCACGGCGAATGCATGTGCAACTTAACGTTCGGGAATAGTACTCCGTATCCTCGAATAAACCTCTCGCGTCTATTTTATCCCTCTCGTCCCTGGCTCGGATCCCAGCCGAAGATTCGGTCACGCGAGCGGACACTTTGTGAAGAACCGCCGAGACAGTTCTGCGAGGGATCCGTCCGTAGACGAGGTATGTAAAATGTCGGCTCCCCGTGAACCTCTTCGCGCTGTTCCAAATCCTCGTCATCCTCAAGGCAGTCGGGTGACCGAACATTTCCGCGAAGGAAAAGTTGGCTCGAATTATCAGCGGAAAAGTCCGCCGCTATAAACCTGCTGCAATAATGGCGGGAAATACTATGTGCACTAGGAGTCACGTATTTCTTGGCACTCGCGAGCGTATCGTTCGAAGTATCCTGGTACAATCACGCGAGTTCGAGCAGTCACCTAAATAGACAGACATGCGAAAATTTGGCAGCAATCTTACCTACCTACACTTTACGTAAAAGCGGCCGTTGTGTCAGACTTCACATAGTATTCGTATTTTTTTACACAGAGTATGACAGAAATATGAAAGAGATGGTAAAAATTTCCTCAAAATTGCATAAGATATGATATGAAAGACAGAGAGACGCATAATAAGTTTACTTTCGGCAGATTTGTTGCCGCGTCAATATAACAAAATTTTGCATCATCTCAATCCAGTGTATCGAATATAATTATGAGACTGCAAAGCTCCCATGAGAGGTCGATTGTCTCGTGAGACAATTATAAAAATATCTGGGTAACGAATCTACGGGCAACAATGGCTGCGGGACGGCGGGAAGGGGAAGGGAGAAAAGGGTCATACACTCATCTCGTGTCGCGTACGTACACGCTTGAAGACAGACAGCCGTACGGAACAACGTTTCACTCGATAAAGGCACGAGCGTACAAAAAGAATTACGCTCGTAAAGTCGGAAGACACGTAAGAACGTGTGGCTTACACGCGATTCGTGAAACGACGGTAGAACGTGGAAACAGGTGAGGGAGGCTAAAAAAACTCGCAACGCTGTTAAAGCAACAATCGCAGAACATCGATATTCGGTGGTTGCGTGCTCGATTTGACCGGTGCGGCGCCTAACTTCAGACACAACGGCGTATAGCGGACGCCGCGGTGTACGCATACATACGTGGGAAAGGGAGAGGAAGGCCGCGTCGATGCCGACAGAGAGGAAACGAGAGAGCTCGCGTGGTTCAGCGGAGCCAATCGCGATCGCGCATTATGGTCCGACGTGGTGAGTTGGTGGGGGCGGCCATTTGGTCGCGCGACTCGCGCGGTTGTCATGTTGTCATCGCACGACTGTGTGATTCGCGTCGACCGGAACCGCGGAGTGCCGGGTGGAGTCGGAGTCGGAGTCGAAGAGGAGCGAGTACCCGGGCGATATCGTGCAGCATCGAATACACGAACACGGCAGATAAGAAGCGTATCGCACCGACATTGTGACAGTTCGCTCGGCCGCGAGAACAGCGCGTACGAGAGGAAAAGAGCAAGAGATAGATAGAAGTGCGCGAGGAAGGGGCCGAAAAGGAAGGAGGTTACGCGCTGCATCGCCTGGCAGTTGAGAGCTCCGTATAAACGCCGGACGCGAGGCCGCCTGCCGCTAATTTCGCGTAACCTCGATCGAACTCTTGCCGATCTGACTCTTGTGGACTCTCCGGACATCTCTTTCACGGATCATTCACGAGGAGAGCCGAGTCCGGCCGCCCAGCGTCTGTCTTTCTCTTTCTCGCTTCGCCGTCGTCGTCTCTCACCAGCCGCCTTCCTTCGCGCGCACGCGCGCGCGCGCTGTCAGTGACAGTCAGGTGCGCGTGCACTCGGGATACATCGGACATCGACACGGTCGTCTGAGAGGAGAGAAGGTCGACAGGATGAACTACGGGGATATGCCGAACGTCGATCCCGCCAGGTATATTGCTTATTTCTCTCGCGCGGCCGACATGCCTTCGGCATTCGCGCACGCATACCCGCTCCGGAAATGGCCGTCGATTTTGAGTTTCGTTCGAGCGATTCTGGCGATCAGCCCAGCCGGAACCGGTAACGCGGTTGACTCTGCATGACTGAAAATCGCGCGGTTACATTCGCGCTCGAACGCGCGCTTGTGAGTACATTCGATACCGCTGCTACTTTGTCGAGGTTAGGCGCGCACTAATAGTCGTTACTCGGAACTTGTCCCAACGGAGGTTGTCAAGGAGAGTTGGGCGCACATTTTTCGGCGGAGTCGTGACTGCAAACAGAACGTAATACGTGTATCGCGGTACTCGAGTGAAATATTCTCATGTATGACTCCAATATATTAACAAAGTATATTAATAAGATCCTCAGATTTGAATTCGAAATTAATTTGAATCACGATCACAAGTGCAATGTCGCATGTTATGATTCAAATGAAGGGGTCAAATCTAACCCTAACTCAAATCTGAATATTTTACGCTCTTTTGGCTCCTGGCCTTAAATTTTACAGATTTTTTGTTTGAATAGAGATTTTGTTTAAATCTTACAGATAAAACTTCGATTAGCATATCGATTTACTCGCAGTGATCAAATTGATCCTAACATTTATTGATTAGAGTTTAGAAATGAACGACGAGGGTTTTGCGTGTCTTGGTCCAAATTCCAACGTCTCAGGTTTCAACCGAAACGCATCGCAATTAACGACTATCGAAACGGCCGTTCAGACGTGTGATCTGTCCCTTTTGAGCTGCACTGCTGAACTAATGCAAAGATTAGAGCGAGAAAAAAATATACTTGTCTCACTCTATCCTATTGCACCTGTTTAGCAGTGCATCTAAAAAGAACAGTCCAATGACGTCTCGAACACGGGCGAACAAGGGCGAGAGCTCGCTCCCTTTGCATGACTTCGAGATCGGTCGATCGATCGATCGAGCGAGCGGGCGAGCGGGCAAACTTTTCATACATTCGGAACATCTCGAATTCGTTTTTATTATGTGGTCGTTGCTAAGGCCGCGAGTGGAGCGGTTAGCCAACTTTCGAGTAACACGTATGTAAGAGAGCGCGGCTAATGAAATCACCCTCGATCGTTGCGACAGAATGTTGACCGCGTACCTACGAACGAACGAACGGTGGGCTTTGTATTGAGACTTTTCCACACAGCGGACACGCGCGCGAAAAGTTAATTCGTCGATGCAATGGCGGATTGCGAGCTGCTCACGCGCCGTTGCCGTTACTCGGCACCTGCGTGGCGTTTTGAAATTCCTCGCGAGAAATACGGGCGCGTTAGTCGCGCGTCGGGCTTTTTCGCCGCCGTGACCGACGGTTGCGTACAGTTTCACGTAGCAAGGCTGGATCCATCACTCAACGTTCGTCTGAGCACTTTCCTCCTTCAGCGGTTGTTGAATAGCCTGTTTTTGCGGCGCGATAACACGCCTCGCGAAAGCGAGAAAGAAGCGTCGACGAAAAATATTGAGACAGCTTCTTGTCAACGGCGGCACGGAAATGCGTCTCTGAACACGTCTGACAGCCTCTGGATTGTCCAGCAGGCAATTAGTCTTGCAATTTGCGCGACGACGAGTCGCGCGGAAACTTTCATAGAAGATCACACGGCGATATCGGAGGACAGACCGACCGGATGAGACCTGAAATACCCAACTGGTTTCGCGGAGTGCAATTGTCTCTACGCGACACGATTCTCGCCTTGTCTTGAACGATTGGGTATGTAAATAATAAATGCCCCTCGCAACTGGGATCATTATAAGGTCGATGGGTTTTGCGTAAAATTGAGGAAAGCGTCATGCGCGGGGAGAATTTTGCAGTAAAAACTACAAAATATCACCTTTTGCAACTGACAAACATGGCGATATTCTGCCTTAATTTCAAATCGCCTCTTCTCTTCATTCTTCGCCACATCTTAGGAACTGGACCATTCACCATTGAAATATCGACCCTGGTGAGATAAATTCTACAGACGCTTTATCATTATTAGCATATTCCGTTACGAAATACGGTAAAATTTTGGATAGAATTTCGCGCGAAAGAGGGATTGCACGTATCTCCGTGTTTGGATCGTGAGCGCAAATCGCGCAGGAGCAATTCGCCACCGGTCGAACGAGTTCTCGAGAGGGCGAAATTACATACGCGTGGAACGCGTAAGGTGGACCTCGGCGGGGTGGATTCGGGAAGGATTGCGTCGCGCGGCGCAATTTCACGCGAGGCACGTCCGGCCTTTCGGTCTTGGTCATCGTCCGTAGAAAGTGCGGCATTAGCAGCAATGACTTTACCGTGACACCATTGCCGCAGCGATCGAGCGATCCTTTCCAATATACCGAACGGAGCTCGGAAATCAGTCACGCCTGCAAGGTGGTTGTCGGACGTCCGAAAATCGCCTGGAAAGTGGACTTTGATCGCGCTCTCGGACGAAAGTCCAGTTTTACAAACACTTAAATGCGACACACAGCGACCGTAACGTCGTCAGGACTTTCAGTGAGATCGAACGGCCAAGTCGGTGAGTTTACTCAATGAGTTTAAAGTCGCTTGCGCGAAGAAAGAATTTTCTGGTGAATATTTTTTTAGAATTTTTTTGCGTGTCGGCATTCTGCCTTGATTTATTATTGTTCCATTTTATATGTGCTACTTATATACCTTGGGAATTGAAGTCTACCGTTAGAAGAATTTGTTGTGTACATATCTTATTATAAGCATAGCAAAATATATAAATGTCATCGGTCTGTTTCCGCATTACGAAAACCGAAAAGAGTTTTTATGAAAAAACTGTTGATGTTGATTCCGATTCAACGATTTTTTTCCCTTTCCGTGCGTCAAGCCGCATCACGAATCCGTGGTAAAGTCATAGCCAATCAAGTTTTTCGAGACGTTTGATAAAACAGATCCCTATCGATCGATCGACGCTATCGCTGTCATCGTTCTAATTTTTCCGTCGGGTATAGCAGAATATCGGTAGAGGCTGATATCAACGTTATTATTCCCGTGAAATCATTCCGTGGTTTCAAGGTAGAGATTCAATCGTAGATATCAATGTGTACTTTCGAATGTATTTTTGAGAGATACAGAGAACGCGTGCCCGTGGAAAATGCCCATGAGATAAGACCATTTATCGTGCCTGATCGTAGCAACAAATGAGTAGAAAAATAAAGAAGAAAAATAAAGACCGGTCGGAACTTTTTACGCGCTCGCTCTTTCACCCGTCTGATCGGCTTTCCTCGGGAAAATCGCTTCTAAAAGTTTGTCAATCGTCAGAAGGTTAGTCAGTCGTTTTGACGAACTTGAATTCCGATGTCGTAATCGTGTCATTTGAATCAGGCTGCACGATTGCCGAAACATTCACGTGACGTCCGTTCTTTTTCATTGCAACTTCAATGTCGTCGAAAATGCCTCTGTCAACAATTTAATCAGCGTTTTAGCCATTCGCACGTATCGTTAGGAGATCTGATTCAATTTCACAATTTTATCGCGACGAGTTAGCAGTAGCATTTCCCTATGCACGTTCAAAATATTTTACTTTTAATTATATAAGCTTTGCATATCATGTACATTATGCTTAAATCAGAATATTAAGAGAACGATCACTTTTTCTTGCGTCTTTTTTTTTTAATTCAGTTGAAAAATAGAAAAAAATATTAATTTTTTTGTATGTGAATATGTAATTGGCGACAAAATATCATAAGTTATAGATCTGACGTAAATTGTAATATAAAAAGAGGATATACGACGTTCGTTCTTCATCGTGATTTTAACGTCATTGGGAATATCTCTGTAAAAAGTTAATCGTTTCTTCCAAGTAATATAAGATCTGATTTAATTTTACGATGTTATTGCGACGATGCGAATACGCTGTAGGATTTCTACATGCACATAAATCATATTATTTTATCCTTATTTATATAAGCTACACAAAAATTAGGATATTAATTACCAGCATATTAAGAATATCAGAAAAACGATTATTTCTCTTCTCTTATCTTTTCCTTATGAAGAGAAAAAAGAAGGAAGAGAGAGACGCAGATAGTAATATTTAATGGCCAAATAACAAGTTGGGTAAAAGAGTATGGAAATAAAAGCAAATACTCATACTTTTGTTTTCCTACTGGAACATTGACATCGAGAAACGAATTATAAGTACAATTCGGGATTATACATAAAAGATATCGATATACGCTGATATCATATCATGTTGTTCCTGATGCTGCTCACAATTGCAAAGATATTCCGATGAGACTTGTAAATTTCTTTCTTTTGTTGTATCTTTTGCGTATATTGGCAGAATATTTAAGAGATAAGAGCAGGGAGAAGGAAGGAAATCTTGTACAGAAATGTAGATGCCGATATATCAGGTTTTAAAGTTGAAGTTGATTTATTTGCATTCATTTTGGCTTGCAAATGCTCGCAATAAGTTTATGTGATTTCGTAGTCGTCGTGTGAATATTTATCGCGATTCTCACAAAGCGTATGGATTTCCTTCTTAAAACTAAATCCCTTATCGCGCATTGAGCATTGTTCTTTTCGTTTAATCTGCCCGAGATAGAGGGAGAAAGAGAAAGAGTCAATATTCCTATCAATTTTGCGACATTAAGTCAAACGTCGAATTGCGCTCGCGTACAAAATGGCGATGATCTCTAGCGGCTTTTGCAATCGCTCGAGTTATCCGGTGAATGTACTGCTCTGACGTCGTAAAAAATGTGCACTCAATCCACGGGACAATAAGAAAATTATTGAGAAAATGCAAAGACTTCTCGTCATTGCCGCTCTCACGAGACCTCTTCATCCCTTTTTTACTCGGTCGTAAAACCCGTATCTCTTTTTAACATTCTTTTGACTGATACTTGATGACTGCCAAAGCGATATTACGTTCTTAACAATTAATTTTCAAATCAGTGTCTTATACCATTATATGCTAAATTATAATTATTATTCATTAATGGATGGAGAAATATTTTAATTGTACGTGAGTTTTAGTACACGAGAGAAAAAAGAATTATTACAATATGTATTTATTATATTACGTAACTTCATTTGTTTGTTGTTATATTTGTACATTATTTATTATACTGTATTGCATTATTTAGCAAAACTCTCAGGAAAAGAAATCTATACGAGTAAACTCTTTTAATTGATGTACGAAACACAGAATTGTTTTAGCACACATCAGCTACGAGATAACTCGTATTTAGCAAACAATGTGTTAATAAACAATCACGCACATGATGCATGACACGTGCCGCACTCGATCCTACGATCGATAGTCCGTCTGATAAAATCGCCGATCAAGAGCCACTTGCTCGAGATTATCACGATCGATCAACGTGCGGCTGATCGATCAACGTGCGGCTGATCGATCACGTGATCAATGTATGCTCCTCGATCTCGGTGAGAGTGAGCTAATTGTTTTCAAGTGCTGGCGAATCGCGATAAACGCGGGGCATGCTCTGTGAACGGCACCAAGGGGTTATCTCACGCCTGTTCTTGATAACATAATACGCGACTGTTTGGAATGATCGGCAACGAAGCGTATAATTATACACAATTACATATATAGATTAGCGACTTTTTCATGAAACACGATTGATAAATGAAATGAGACTGTCGAATGAGAGTCGCGCGAGCAAAGAAAGCGTTTCGTTCCAATTGTCGTTTTCGTTGGAATGAAAAATCGGAAACGTGTCTGTGAGCGAGTGCAGTTTTCACAAAGAGACGAGAGATCGAAACTCATTGATCAAGTTGGGTGTCGACGTATCATTAAAGACATACATTATGTCTAAAAATTAAAACATTTGACTGATCTATCTGTAATAGATTTTCTTTGAGGCTGTATAATGATGGTTTACTTGTTTGAAAAAAAAAAGAATTTTTTGTCAATATTTTCTAATGTTTCAGAATAAAATTGCTTAACTTTTCCTTGCTGAAACCACTTTCTAAGTAGTTTTGGAAGCACTCATTACACGTATCGGTTGAAGTAACGCAAAAAAGAAGACGTCTCGGTTGAAGTAATACTAAAGATTTTTCAGATGAAAAAACTCGGACTCAGAGTGTCAAAAGTACTTTAATAATTCTCGTTTGAGATACCGCCGAGGACAAAATACGAAGATTAAGTACACACTCTTTGTACGTATCTGTTTAAAGGAGCAAGAAAGAAGAAATTAACGAGATACGTTCGTTACATAATTAACATAACTTTCCATGCCATTATATCGCATAAAATCGTTATGCTTTATCGAGAGACCGAATAATGACACTTACACATCTTACACAATATATAGACTATATAGAATTCTTGTTCGTTGGGTGATAAAATGTCAATGTTAATGGCGTTACAAAACAAGACGGTACTCTAAAAAGAAAAAAAAACGGGCCAATAATTCAATGTCGCGTCTCGAAGACCAACTTTGTGGGTGCGACGAATATTCGACGACTGATTTCACCGTGTGTAAGCATCGCGTGACATAATTCACATATCGCGGGATCGCGATATCGATTTTTCGGCAACAACATGATATTTTACTACTTGTTACTCTCTGCCGGATATATCGCATGTCCATCCGTGCGGTTGCTGGTGTATACATGCCACCATTTTTGGCAACAAAAATCGAGGTTACAGCAGGCTTTACCGGTTCTTTTGCGTCGTGAGAATATGGAACGTGACTAAGGACTGCGTACATCGGACAATGCTCGCTCGATGGCTTCTCTTTTGAGGAATTTCA